GGGGGGGGGGGTAACCGGGGGTGGGTAGTGGAGAGCAAAAATAAAAATAATAATAATGAAGTTCGATATAAAATTATTTATACAATTAAATTACCTAAAAAGTAAGTACAAGTAACTCTATTTAATACTAATAGTAAATAACTTGATATAACTTATTAAATTACGCTGGTAGTGAAAAAATTATTAGTATACTGTTGTTAAATTTTAAAAAAGAATAGAGAGAGTGGGTCTATTATATTGTAGTGGAAATATGATAAGTTCTCATCCTAAAATTCTAACCAATAATACATAAGCTAATAACACTACACATTTCTATATAATATCTGTATCTATTGGATACCCATTAACCCCTCCCCCCAACCCCTTATGTAGCTTATTATATATTATATATGTATATAATACAAGTTCGTATATGAATATAATGTATGTATATAAGTTGATGTTGCACAGAACTGTAAATAGTTTTAGGATTTTTGTTTCATTGGATTTGATTCTAATGGAATTTTGATAAGACTTTGGCTTTTTACATATTCTATTCTTCTTCTTCTTCTTGAAAAAGCTATTTGGAGGAGATTGGATTTTCAGTTTGTGATATTTGGAGAGCTGAGAAATTGAGCGGGAAAAGTTCTTCAAGATTTTGCTATTGGCTTTAAAGGTTCATTTTTTCCCTCTTCTACTGTTTGTTTGGTTTATTTTTGGAAAAGACAAAAAAAAAATATGAAAGAAAGCTTATTTAGCATTAATTGAAGTCAAAAGGGCTGAAAGTGAAGTTAATTTGATTGTTGATTCAAGTTTTACTATGTTTTGATTATAACTTCCACTCTTTTTCTTTGGTCTTTAAACTGTTTTCTTTTGCTAATTGCAAGAGTTTTCAGCAAGAAATTAAGCAGATGTTAATTGCTTATTGGTGTGTCTATATATATATATAAAATGTTTCGAGCCTATAATCTGAAAAAGATTAAAACTTTCTTAATATGTATCATGTTTAGAACCTATAATCTGGAAAAAGATTAAATCTTTTACTGACTTTTAGCTACCTGATTTGCTTTTTTTGTATATTCAAACCATGAAATTAATCATGTATTTTAACTTGTTTTCTACATCTATTTCTTTCCCCCATTTATTGGGATATAGTGTCAGATTGTTGGAATATATATGCTAATAGTACAAAGAGGTGAAGAGGACTATAAAAACTTGTATGAAAATGGCTTGATATTTTAAATTGGATATCGAAAAGCTACTTGAATTTGGCGCCTGCACTTCTTCTTGTACAAGATTTTGATTATCTGTAGCCGTTTTGCAGCAAATTGTCATTGATTAAAACATTAGGACTGCTTTCATTGATGACCAGTCAATTTTCTTGTCTTATGGACAATCAGTGTTGTCAAAGGCGAAAAGCGCAAAAAATCTCTAAGGTCTGTTGGAGCTTTAAGCGCAAATGAAGCGTGGACTTTATTGAAGACGGGCACAAATCGAGAAAAATTACAAATATGTATGTGTAGTCCAAGACTAATATCTATAAGCATGAATACCAAATATATGGACAAAGAAATTGAAGAAAATTTATGATAAGGTGAAATATCTATTGTTTAGTGTAGCCTCTTCAGGATTAAGCTCATTGGCAAGAAAAAGTATGTCTTAGAGCATTGATGACAATACTGAAGTGCCCGATAAGCGAGACGAAACGCTTAACATGTTTTGAGCCTCGATTCAGGAGCGCGCCTTTGATACCACTGTGAACAATCCATTTTCTGTATGGAAGTTTTTCATGTCAACAATAGCTGACTTGTGTCGTTTAAACCTCAGTCCATACAATGAATTCTTCAACGTACACCCAATTTGCTGCCTCAAGAAGGATGGGTATATGCGATCCGATCCATCAACTTGGCATGTGGGATGATTTCAATAGTAGTTTCCCAAGTACATCGGCAACCATGATTTTAGAAGTTGATAAATGCCTAGAGGACCAGATACCAATTATGGAGAAAAGACTAGACAACGAGGTATGTTCTTTTTAGCTTTTCTCGTTTTAATATCTTCCACAACTCTCTGTGTTTTAGCTTTATTGATAAAGAAAAAAGAATTTTATCTGTTTTAGTTATGCAGCAGATTGTACTGATTAATATAGTTAATGTTTCTAGACAGAAGACACTTCGCATGGAACAGTAGGGACTTCTAACAGATATGAACCGGAAACAAGTAAACCCGTCGAGAAGGTAAAGATGTGTTCTTGTTCTTATAGTCTTGTATCTAGAATAGTGATCTTAAATGAAGGTTTTGTTTGTTATAGCTCATTTTCATGAATTGAAAAGCCTCCTTTTGGTTGGGGATAACATCTGTTCATGTGTGCAAGGAGATTGTTATATGTTTGTTGTCGCTTTCTGATAGATAATTTCTTTCATTCATGTTTTTTGAGAAGAAGATAAACAAGCATTTAACATTCTGAAGCATAATGAGAGGTGCAGTTTCGATTGATTCGTATTTTCAACTGTTCAGTTCCTTTTCAGTAAAAAACAGAATTAGATGTGAATGCACAACTTTTATTGGGGAGTTTCCTTATTTACAATGACATGTTAGAGAATATTGAAGAAAATATGTATGTTTTGCGGCTTTCTTGCTTTCAGGCAAGAAATTTGTTTAAAATCTAGTGCCAAGTTATATCATCTGCATCTACCTGTTTTCTTAAGGTCCTTGTTTCTCTCTTATTATTTTTTTTCTCGGAAATGAGACCAAAAAAGTATAAAATCTGTGTAGCAAGAAGATTTATGTCCAAACCTGATATACAGGTACTTAGACGTCTTGCACAAAACCGCGAGGCTGCTCGTAAAAGCCGTTTGCGGAAGAAGGTATTGCTTGAGTTCTGCTAATTTATTATGCAACATTCCTAATCAACTTTACTTTTCCTTATAGAACACGACAATTTGGTATTCTAGCTGAGTCATTAATTTTCCAAGTTTACATTGTGTTACTTTAGGCCTATGTTCAGCAGTTAGAAAATAGTAAATTGAAGCTGATTCAACTGGAACAAGAACTAGAACGCGCCAGAAAACAGGTAAAAGGGACAGTTTTGATTCTTTTTATGAAGCTGAGATTTTGATCTTTATAGCTGATTAATACAATTAACATTTTGCCTTTTAGGGTGAAAAAAATCTAACAAATCAAACAAACATTTTGCAACAGGGCATGTGTGTAGGTGGTGGTGTAGATGCTAGCCAGCTAAGTTACTCTGGAACCGCTAGCTCAGGTTTGTCGGTTCACACTGTATTGTCATGTACTTAATCAAACTTCATTTTCAGCTCTTTGTCGGAGCAATTAAATTATGCTTGGATTTGGAAAGAATTCAGATGAGAGCTTTACCTTAGTTTCATTATAGAGTACATAGTGAAACAAGCTTCTGCATAATTTCGTTTGCTGTTTACTTTTCCTATAATATTAAGATCACTGTATCACCTTAAAATGCCAATCGTTGGATCTAGCTAATACATTAGATCATTGTTGCTTGAGAATGAATAATAGTTGGATTAAACTTGAAGTGGAAACATTATTCCGCTTGATCTGTAAATAAGACTTACAGAAACATAGGATGAAAATATTTTGTTTTATTTTCTGGGAATTGTTTCTGCTCTCCTTTCACCTGCGGTTGTGTTTATACATTACTTATTACTATGAACATTTAATTCTTTGGCTTTTTTTGGAGTATCTTGTTATTAGAACATTAACGGGGTCACTGTTATCCTTATTCATTACCTTCCAATTCATCATATATATTTATTCTACTTATCAAGTATTTCTGGTTGCGGCTTCTTCTCGGTATCTCTCATTCTTCTTAATCACTTAGCAAAGTAGGAAACTTAAAGAAGAATAGCTGCTTAGAAACAACTACGATCGCAGTGGTAAGACATTAATAATGTGTGTCAGATAGTACCAAAACGAGAGCAATTTGTAGTTCCTATGATTTCATCATTTCTGGCAAACCTATTAATACCATGGTGCCTAATTTTTTAGATTATTTGATTTGCTAGAGTTCACCTCAGTTGTCCGTTAAAATACAAAATTAGTAAAATATTTAACATTTTTCCTTCTCTTTTTCATACATTGTTTCTTGTGTTTGTTTCCTCTCTATGGACATTCCCTAACTTCTTGAATCCACAGGAACTGCTGTATTTGATATGGAGTATGGTCACTGGGTAGAAGAGCAAACTAGACAAACAAATGACTTAAGGATTGCTTTGCATTCTCAAATTGGTGAAGCGGAATTGCGCATTATTGTTGATGGTTACCTGAACCACTACTTTGATCTCTTCCGCATGAAAGCTACGGCTGCTAAAGCTGATGTCCTATACATCATGTCTGGTATGTGGAAGACATCTGCCGAGCGCTTTTTCATGTGGATTGGAGGGTTTCGGCCATCCGAGCTTCTAAAGGTAATGCATGCCTCAGTATGAATTCCCAACTGATGCTCGACACCGAGTCCATGTGTCTATTGTCTTTGTCATTCATTTGAATTCATCTCCAAAGCCAAACATATGTTATTTCTTTCCTTAAGCTCGTGAATAATCGTCTTGTTCTTTATTGTTTCGATTAAGAAAGGTGCTTAATACAAGATTTTCTGTTAACCTACAGGTTCTCACACCGCATCTTGAGCTCTTGACAGAACAACAACTTCGAGAGGTTTGTAACCTGACCCAATCATGTCAGCAAGCAGAAGACGCCTTGTCACAAGGAATGGTAAAACTCCACCAGATTCTTGCCGAGGCTGTTGCAGCTGGCCGACTAGGAGAAGGAAATTACACTCTTCCGCAGATGGGGCCTGCCATCGAAAAGTTGGAAGATCTTGTTAGGTTCGTAAATCAGGTAGTATATCATATTGGATTTTCATTCCTTTCAATAGAAGTTCTCCTAAAACTTCCATTTACGTGTTTTTGTGGTGTGCTAATACTCAGTTTATTCTTTGGACGCCTGTGATTCGGATACTTGATTCGTTCTCCTAACTCATCTCTGTTGCCTTTCTGGAAACAGGCGGATCATCTACGACAAGAAACCCTCCAACAGATGTCCCGCATCCTTAATACGTGCCAAGCAGCTCAGGGCTTACTTGCCTTAGGGGAGTACTTTGAACGACTTCGTGTTTTAAGCTCACAATGGGCTACTCGTCTACGTGAGCCTACCTAATGAAGCACAAGAAGATCCGCTGTATATTACTCGAGGAGTTTTGCCTTCAGAAGATGATGCTGTGTAAGCTAAATCTGCCACTTGTTTATGTCAATAAAACTCTCAATATGAACATAGAACATTATATCAGCTGCTGCCAGTTCTGAAGTTCCTCCTCCTAATTGATTATTTGTACATATCTTCTGCGATGCTGCGACATGGAATTTCGCCATTGCATTTTTCTTTTTAGTCACATTGGTTTGGCTACTGTAAACCAAAAGGTCTGTAGAAGATCTCACATTACTTGTCCAGTGTCTGTGCAAAGCTCAGATAAAGTTTTTCTTATATTTCCTCTGCATTCAAGAGTCTATTGTCGTAGTATACTTCCCCGCGCAATTTTTGAAGGATTTGGAGTGGAGAAACAGAACTATGTCGCGGCCAATATCATGTTGTGATTTCTCATAAGAATTATGGTTCTAAAGATTTGCATCTAATATTTACTTTTACAGGTTATGGACCAGAGTACTGTTGCTCACTTGGTATCTAAACCTATATAATCAGTGGCGGAGCCACACAGGTTCAAGGGCAGATGCAAATTCAGGATTCCAATGTTATTCGAATCTATTATTTGTACTTATTTACTGGATTTTAAACACATATATGTGATCTGAGCCAAAAACTACTAGGTTTGGATGAACCCATAAGTTATACACTAGATCGGCTCCTGCTCAAGGGTGTTCAGTTGAGCATCCTTCGTCGGAAAATTATAGTGTGTTATATAAGTCAGATATTATGTGTTGAATCTTGAGCACACTTAGTGTAATTCTAGGCTTCGCCATTGAGCTATATTCATTCACTTCAGGTTTGTGGTGAATGAATTTTACCATCTTGCTACTTCTGGTAGGGTCTTGAGAACTTAAATGAGATTTTTACACAAATAGCCAGATAGATTTGTTGTTGGCTTTTTCTAGCCGCTATATATATAGTATATATACTAATTATATACGGTTATATAGAAAAAATTGTACGGTTTACACATATTATATATATACATTCGGCTATTTTTAGTTTAAGGTAGCTATTTAGGCTTCACTTAAATCTCAAAAGTTGCCATGAAATTTGGATATTAATAAAAGAGTGTGACAAGTCAGAAGTGGTATCTTTATAAACTAAGATTATGTAATTCATAGGCCAAACTTGATTAGGGCGAGATAAAGGGGTATCTCATGATTTGAGTCAAATTGTTCAATTGAGCTCCTAGAATTAAGTGGTGTTAGGGCATGCCAACAATTGCTTGACTTTCTTCATCAAAATTCTGACTAGGCATCTTTAGCTAGGAACTAATTGTTACACAAATAGCCGGTCAAATTTAATTCTTTCTTTTTCTAGCCGATATATATAGATTATATGTTGATTATATACATACATGATTTATACATATATTATATATTTGCCGGTTATTTATAGGTTAAAAGATTGTGTGAGCGGCTATTTGGGTTAATTCTTCAGGAAAAAAGCACGAATAAGCATAATATTTTGAACAATTTAATCAAATGAATCCTCAAAAGTATCAAGAGCAAAGATTGATGAATTTTGTACAATTGATTAGAAAAATAATATATAGTTAACCTTTTTGTCACATATTTTTGTTAAGAAAATGAACTTTGTGCGTAGCTAATTTGAAAAGCTAACGGAAGTGGTCGGAATTTTCTAAAACCATATGAGAATATGGACTATACACTCACTAATATAAGATTTTTATCTCTGTTCATTTTCTAACGCTGTTTACATTTAGAATTAATCATTTGAATCGAAGAATAGCATAATATGGATGGACTAATGTTCGGGTTAGATAGCCCTATATTAAGAATGAGTCACCAATTCACCATATTAAAGCAATATGCCTAATTCGAACTCAAAATTTAGTTCAATTAATAAGGATGGCTTAAATTCATACTTAGTGATATTATTAACATTATTTTCATGGTAGGCATATAAAAAAAAAAGAAGTATCTACATAGTGACACGTGTCAATGTACAAAAATACTAAGTACTATCATAAATAATATATGAGGTTGTAATGAAATGGGACAATTTAATTGTGAGTGGTGGGGAGAAGATGTAATTGCCAAAACCTCTTAAGTCTTAACTTCTATTGCGAGGTGTAAATGCCATTTCAGTACTGTTTGACAAAATGACACCAGAAATTGGTACTCCCTATTTATATTTCCAGTAGCATATGATTGGTTCTCACTATTCATTTTTTGTTTCTCTTCCATTCTCAACTTCTTTAACCGATATATATATATATATACACACACTTTATTTTTCACTTTTATTTTTATTTTATTAATGATGATATCAGTTGAGCTAAAAGAATAAAGTGAGGATACATATTGACAACTTCAATTTGTTTGGGAGTGAGGTGTAATTATTTTTATTAATGGACGATGAAAATGAGGGTGAGGGAATTGGAGAACTATTTTTTAATAAGCGGGGGAGGAGACTATTTTTTTTTTCTTTGTAGAATCTTTTTCCGTTCTTTCCCTTTCACCATTCATTTCTTTTTTTATATTCTTCTCTCATTTCATATTTTCATTTTTTTCTTCTTTTTTGTCTTTTTCTCATTGCCAGATTATCGTGTGTCTTACTAGTAATATGCTGAAAATAATTTAGCTTCAACAGGAGTAGTACAATAGGTTTGAGAATTAAAATTTTGGGTTTAATTAATTGTTGATTTGTAACAACTTTTATAATTTCAAGGCCCAAGGAAATTTAATGTTTTACTATTTTTAATATTAATATATAAATATATTTTTTTCATGTAAATTTATTTGATACGCTTCGGTATTTATTCGGTACGGTTCGGTTTGGTATTTTTTCGGTTTATTTTCATAAAATAAAAAACTTACCTTAATTATCGGTACAATTATAGATTTACATAAAAACCTACGGTTTTATTAAAAAAAATTAAAAATTAATTCGGTTCGATACGGTACGGTACGGTCCGGTCGATTTAGTTGATTTTTAAATATCCATTGATATCCCTAATAACGGAAGCGGGGGAGGAGAGTATTTCTCTTTTCTTTATATATATTTTATATTTATTTGATCAGATGTATGAGTAAATGTACATCGACTATAAACAAAATAGGGAAAAAGATCAACTCTATCCCTCTAAGTCTGTTAGGTAACCCAAAATCTCCAACATTCCTTTTATTTAAATTACTTATTCTTTTTCTTGATCTACTATTTTCAGAAATTATTATTGATATGAATGTTAAAGATACTAAACTATATATATATATATATATTCGAATATATTTTATAATTATGTGGTTAATATAGAGTTTGGTCGACTAACTTAAGAGTGCACAATGCATATGCATTTGATTAAAGCAAAGTTGAATTCGACAATGCAAAGTTTCTAAGGAACTTCAACTTCTATCGCTAATACTTGCTAAGTCTCAATACCTTTGGTGTAACGAATTTATTAAAGCTGGGGTATTGTGAATACTTTTGGAATTTAGACAAGCTACTTAATTTAGATTTTTTAATTTACTATATTTGTTTTACTAACCGCTGCATCATTTTAGTATTTCTTTCTCTTATTTTTTTTCAATTAAGAAAGCAGCAAAATGCCAACTACTTTAAAAATAGTGGATCAAGAATAAAAATAAGTGACTTAACTAAAATGATTTGAGATAATTTTGGATCATCTGACGGACTGAGGGGTAACTTTTTAAAGTTACCTGATGGTAAGGGTAAATTTGGTCGGATAGTTTAATGGTATGGGTGAATTTGGCCGAATAGTATAACGGAGGTTATATGTAGACATTATTCAAAAGCAGAAGAGTAAATTTGGATCATTTCCAAATAATTTAATATTACTCCCTCCGTTCACTTTTACTTGGCACGTTTTGATTTTTTACGCCCCTTAAAAAATAATAAATGAAGTGCAGAATTCACCATGATACCCATATTGATTGATGCATATTTTATTGAATTTGAGAAAATAATTTAAAATGAGTAATAAATACTGTGGGTATAAAAGAAATTTTTTTTTTCCTTCTCTTAATATGTGTAAAGTGACAAGTAAAAATAAAAATCTATTTTCCCCTCCACTGAAATTTTGAAATTTTATCCAGTTATGTTCAATAGCGTTGCCGATTCTTGCCATGTGTCCACCCACATTTTTTATTGTTGAGATTCAATTTTGTGATATACAATTTAAAATGGTAAGACAATTATGAGGAAAAATTATGAAAAAAAGGATAATGCTAACGTGCCTGCCATCTTTTATCACTTTGAAGTTTTATAGCTGCAAAATGCAACATGTGGGGCCCGTCTTTTTATGTAAAGAAATATTTTGTCAAAACATAGGCACATGTACAAATTTTTCCAGTTAACTATATCTCTATTATTTGTTTGTTTTAATCATTTGGCACATGTACAAATTTCTTATTCTTTTGGTCATGGCCACCGAGTTTAATATTAATGAAGTGTTTATTTTTACTTTTTAATGTACATATTCATCTATTAACGTACAAAAATATATTTATGTGTGGCAAGTAATTCTTTTCTGCAGTCAAAGAGTACAAATATTTCAAAATAAAAATTTAGTGTAATATATCTTAGTTCTATTCTTAATTGATTTTTATAGCCAATATTCTTTTCAAACATATTATAGCATTTAAACAATTTCATATGAATTTCATTATCCAAGACCTCTTGTGTCAAGATAAAGAAACTCTTACTTGTCTTTTACTGTGTTATTTGTTAAATTCCTTTTCTCAAAGACAAGTGAATTTTGGTGGCAGCAGATACTTAGGTGGAAAATAAATGCTTTTGAAAAATACCATTCTCCTAGAAAGATATTTAGAAAATTTCTTTAAAAAATGTATGCACACTCCGTATTTATGTCGAACTATATTAGGTAATTATGGATGATATATTAAGTAAAATATACATAAATTAGTCTAGTCAAGACATCAATGTGTAGTGTACGAAGAACACATGACACATATTTATTAATTTGATATAAACATAAAACGTAAATAAATCTTTCTTTCATTCTAACTGTCTGAAACCGATTGGACAACTATGTAGTATGTCACGCTTTCTACTTTGTTTGTACCTTGCATTCCTTCATTAAATAATCGAGAGGACTTTACAGAAATACTATTTAGGCAAAATGACCTCCGTCGTACTTAAACTTGTATCTGTTTGTCAATTCGGTAAGTGAACTTAGAACTTTTTTATTTAAACACTTCAACTCTATAAAATACATATAATTACAACCTCTGACCATTGATCATGCTTATGTGGCAACAAGATAACTGATGTGGCGATAGTGCGTGATGCTCACGCTGAAAAGGAGCGTGAAAATATTTTTTAATTAAAAATAATTAAAATTAAAAATCATAAATCAAAAGAAAAGAAAGAAGTAAAGAGAAAAGAAAAATCCAACCTACTTTCTCCCTCCAACATCTCAACCTCGGCCTTCCATCCCCTTTCTTTCTTTCCCAATTTCACCTTTTGTCATTGCTCCACTATTTATATCATCTTCATTTCACCACAAGTGCGTTTAACCATGGCAGTACCCACCGAAATCAATGATCACTCCTTCACCATAATAGAAACATCACTATGGGAGGCGAATGAATAACTGCAATGGGTGGACCATCGATGGAGGTAGAGATGATAATAAAACTACTTAGAAAAATATGATATTGATGGACAAGTAAATAAGATCTATATTAGCCATTTTTTACCTCTTTACCTCAATCTCATCTCTTACTTGTGCAAATCATGGAGAATTGCAAAGACAAGTTTTTTTACGAAGAAAAAGGTTAGTTATTTGAAGAAAAATTTCCAGTGATATTTGAAGGTTTTCAGGTGAGTTCTAAAAGGAAGAAGAAGGGGTACACACAATTATAAACAATCTT